TTGCCTTGCACATTTAAACCTGACTTAACTTGATATATGTTTGCACTTAAAGGGAATTCCTTATTGTTTACAATAGTTCTGGTTGCTTCTTAAATTGAACATTGCACAGAAGAATCAACAGAATATTGATGTTCCTTACTACAACTTTCACTTTAAGAGCACTATGTGATCAGCGTTTTATGTTGTAATGATCCATAAATACAACAATAAATTGCCTGTTAACTGGCAAAATCAGAAAAAATGTCTATTTTTTTGCTATTATCATCACAACACTATTGTGAGCTATTTAAAAGTACCGTCACCTTTTCCACAATATCGCAATAAATATCGTACCGTGAGGTCAATATCAAAATTGTATCGTACCGTGAGATTTTGATATCGTTACATCCCTTATTGGTTATTGCCTGGCCACCCTTATAAAAATATTCTGGCTCTGTTCTGAAGTAAAAATGTAGCAGAAGCTTCCACACTTCCCTGAAGGGGTTAGTTTCCATCAAAAGCATGCCACACTTCTAAGATAAAATTGTGAAAACAGTGGAGCTGTTTCCTTTCGCTTTTAAAGTTCTATCAATTGTATTTTTTTTATATAAATACAGCTGAACAAGTTCAAATCTTTTGCTTTAAGGATAAGAAGTGGAAAAGTTTAATTTGGGAGGCACTGTGTGTATTAAAGCTGCAGTGTTTTGCTGTTATTCTGTTGGAAAACTCCCAGCTATAGTAAATAATCAATAAGCAGCAGTTGGATGAACATGCTGAGTGATGTATCATCACCCAGCAAGGGGACAGGAAGTGTTTACGCTTGTCTCTGCACCAACTGTTGGTCTGAGCTCCTCTCAGCACACTTCAAATATCCTCCTCCCTCTACTCATTTCCAGCGAGCTGATGCATGCCACGGAAGCAGTGACGTCAGTTGTTTACTGTCTTGTAGGTCGCTCCAGAGTTGCAGTGCAGCACCTTATCCAGCAGGGCTTATGTAACTCCCCCTGCCTAGTGCATGACTGGCACTTTACCTTTTTATTTTATTTTAGTGTTTTTATTCACCCTGCACTCTTCTTTCTTTGTGTGCAGGTGCATGCACATCACAGGACACTGAAATGCCATCCATGTTTTGCAGCTTTGCTTTCAGTTCTCTGATTGTTTGTCTTGTCAAAACACAGCAGGTTCACTGCTGGAATGGGTGAGTAGCTCCAAACAGAGCTTTCCCCTACCCACACATATCCCAGGGTCCTCCACTGCAGCTGCAGCAGGAAAGTAAACAACTCTGGCTACGTGTGACTCAAGGTGCACTGCTGCCAGGCGCCTCCTGCACGGTGAAACGTCGCCCCCTAGTGGTAGCACACAGAAGTCAACAATACAAAGTTTTGTTTGGGCAAATTTAATAACAAATTAAATTTCCTCTTAGAGGATGGAGCATTAAATTATTTTCTTTTCATACAGCTAATTTCTTAAAAAAAAAAAGAAAAAGATTAATCAAATTATTTGAAAAAAACTTTTGCATGTATTTGCAAAGTCTGACATTAAAAAGTTTGATGCTCCATCCTGGAAAAAACATAATTGTGATTGGAAAACAAAGTCCAGTCATTTGTTGTTTTTTTTATTTTTTACTATTTTTGGAATACTTGTAACAAAAAAAATATTTATTAGGAAATTGGTTTGGAAAGCAGATTTTTAAGTTTAAATCCACAAAATTTGAAGAATGTCTTCAGATTTGGCCTCTTTTGATCCTTCAAAAAATTATATAAAAAAATGGGCAAATAAAAGAAAATTGCATTCCAAATATGATTCTGTTGTTGACAGAAACAAACAAACAAACAAAACAAAAAAACAAGCATCAGTTTCTTGGTCCTCCCTAAATACTTTATTGCTCAAGGTGTCACTTAGTTGCATTCCTAAAATTACTTTCCCAAACAAATATGCACTTAAGTGTCTCCCGAGCAAGACCTAACAACCTTAATAAAACAAGTATGCATTTTAATGAAGTGAAAAGTTAAAGCAAGCAGTTAAAGTTTTGAAAAATATCCTTAAATTTAATTTAAAAAAATGTAATGCCAGTAGGCCTTGCTCAAAAGCCTTAAGCATGACAATAGGAAACAAAATTGCATAAGAAAATCCTTATTGAATTATGAAAATGGGCCATAAAGAAGTATGTGCGGATTCATTGTAACTGGGACTTTATTACACTAGAATGATAGTGAGGAGAACCACCTTTGTGTCTATTTTTAAACTGAACTGTGAACAACCTGTTTGCAAAGTCACACTCATTGTCTCTCAGCTGCCCCCTGGTGGTCTACCTTAAAATAACAACGGTGCGTTTAATATTTATCTATTGTTAAACATTTGTTTATAAATATGTCATAACATTTGCTTTAAAATATATTAAAATATTTTTTTACTGTCATTTGTTTTGGTTGGGGGAGTTTAAGAAAAGACGACGGCAAAATCTAATAACGGAACAAAGGATCACGTCTCATTTCCAGGGGGCCACTTTGTCCGCGTACTCCAGGAAGTCATACAAATGCAGCAGATTGGATCCTCATTGAAGTAAACATACCAACACGGTAATACTTTTAATCATTTATCTGTATATTAGTATTGTTAATATAAATGTGTGACGTAGGTTTGAGGAGGGCCGCAGGGAAATTACATTAAATGTTCACATATTTGACTTAATTTGAATTATTTTTGTCTGTTTTGATTTGTGAAAATCCATTTAAACAACAGTAACAAAGAGTAAATATTTTAGCGCGTAAATATAAGTTAATATAATAAAGGTGCGTATAGGTAGACATGTTGGTGGCAGTAAGAACTTCCATCTAAAGTATAATTTTTTTCTTTCTTGGTGTTGTTGAATCAGAGGTTAATGTTGACATGTTTGAACATGTCTAAAGAAATCAGCACTGGACATGTTCTAAAACCTTTCCTTTGTTAGTAGCAACATGCTTAAAAAACAGTGTTAAAGAACATTTTACAATTTTAATAGAACCTTTTGCTGCTGTGAACACATAATTCAGCATTAACCTTTAAACAGTTTTAGCTAAAGTGCTCTAGATTTAAACTTGAACTCTGTCAAAACTAGGACTGCTACTAACGATTACTTTGCAAACTGATTCATCTGTAGATAATATTTTTAATTGCAAATTTTCCGAAAAGAAGACTTTTTCTGAAAAATCTTTTTTTTTTATCTTAAATGCAAAATGTTTATTTATTTTATTTTTTATTTTTTACAATTTTGCTATAATACCTGCCCTAAGTGGGCCGCTCTGTCAGCTGAAGACACATTTTAGAGTCTCTACACACCAGCTAACTATTAATCGATTACTAAATTGATTGGGATTATTTCAATAATTGATTAATCATCATTAATTCGATTAATTGTTTTAGCCCTACTCAAAACCTACATTCACAAAACAGAATAAAAAGCTAGTTCCTGAAGCAGTGTTCAAACCGATTGGGCAAAGTGGTTCGTTTTAAGCTGGTTTTACAAGGGCTGATGGCCTTAAGAGACATAAACTTTAGCTCCAAAACTATTTAATATTTATTTCTCTTTGATTTAAAATGGTGTTTAAATCATTTGGATGTGATTTATCAGATTCTCAGAACCACTTCTCTTATAAGAGACTCTCTAATCCCCTTTATTATTTATTTATTATTATTATTTTATATATATATATATATATATAAAATAGTATTATTAATCAGACTGAGATCTCTCACCAGCAAAATAAAATACTTGTTGGTACTTTTACCTACAGATTAAATGTTTCTCTAATTAACAAATTTATTTTTCTAAATTATCCCTTTAGTGTAGACTTTGCGTGGACAATGATTCAATATCAGTTAAAAAATATATAATTTTAGGCAGTGGTTAGCGCACACAACCCATGAACGGAGGCCTTAGTCCTGCATGTGGCCGACCCGGGTTCGAATCCGACGTTTGGTCCTTTACCGTATGTCTCTCCACCTCTCTCTTACCCAATTTCCTCTTAGCCTACTATCTATAAAAACAAGCCACTAGTGCCATAAAAAAAAAAATATATATATATATATATATATATATAATTTTATTCAATAACAGTGGCATGATATTTGCAATATTTCAATACCTTTCACAGTCTACTATCGTAACATTTGTCAATGAATGAGTGTTCTATGTGGGCTAAACTTTTTTTTTTCTATTTGAAGCAAATATTTTCTCAACGTTTTATTGGAGATATTTTATAAACATGGCAAAGTAATTGTCAGAAGTTTGTAAAGGCATCTGCGTGGGTATTCTTGGCAGTCTTTTCAATGCTTTTATTTTATTCATATCAAGACGGAAATTATGCCGTATAGACAGAAATATATTGATATATATTTTGGCCAAATAATTTTTTTTAGCTATTAATAAACAGGACAAACTAGAATAAAATACAGGATTCCAACCGACCTTGAATTCCTTGCAAGTCTGTGAATTAAATAATAATTTAAAGGCCCTAGAAAGTTTTTTAAAACAAACATAAAAAGACACCTACCTTGACAGTCTTTGAATGTTGTTTTGCATGTACATATCTGGTGATTTCCACATTGTTTTGTTTGTGTGTTTGGTATTTTAAATGCTTCCAACATAAGCCCTGCGGAGGCTTGTGTCAAATTTGGGAAGATGTCCTATGAGTTTTTTTTTTTTTCTGTGGACTGTAACTTGTTTAAAAACAGAGATGTCTAGATGAGGTTTTGAGGCCAATTATTAGAAGTGTGCTAATGTGTTTAGTTTAGTAGAAGTTCATCATTTTATACATTTAGGATGTGTAGACTTGTTTGGACATGTTTACCATTTATTCACATTTATTCAGCAGTTGAGGTTATGAGAAATCAACCCTTTTGCAATACACTTGCTAAAGAGCCTCATCAAGGCTCTTTTCATCCTGAAAAGTCCTTAAAAAGTCCTTGAATTTGATGTGAACCAAGGTGTGGAGACCCTGAAAATAATTCTTTGCAATAATGTCTTTATCCTTGCAGTCTGTTATACATCTGATCATGGAAGGAACTTCTAAAAGCGATGGTGCCGCTGAGCCGAGTGTTGCTGCTCAGGTACCTTTCCTCCACCTCTGCACAACTTTAGAGAAAATCCAGAAGTCCAAACTCCGTCCAGATAAATCCAAGATCCTTGGGGATTTCATTAAATCATGGCGGGAATTTCATGCTGCACTCCACAAGGACGACCCAAAAACGACAGACTCCTTCTACCCTGCTATGCGCCTTATTGTGCCCCCGTTTGAACGAGAGAGAATGGCTTACGGCATCAAAGAGAGCATGCTGGCTAAGCTCTATATTGATGTTTTAGGACTCCCAAAGAATGGCCCCGATGCCAGTAAGCTGCTGAACTACCGCGCTCCGACCACATCCCAAGGAGAGGCTGGGGACTTTGCTGGCATGGCGTACTTTGTGCTAAAGAAACGATGTACCAGCCAAGGAAACCTCAGTATCAAAGAGGTCAATGACTTTCTAGACTCGGTGGCCATCAATAATGCCAGCAAGCAGAAGGATCTGGTGAAAAAAAGCCTGCTGCATCTTATCACTCAAAGCTCTGCTCTGGAGCAAAAGTGGCTCATTAGAATGATTCTGAAGGACATGAAGCTCGGAGTTAGCAAAGAAACCGTGCTCCAGGTCTTCCACCCGGACGCCGCGGAGCTCTACAACGTCAACACCGACTTAAAGAAAGTGTGCCAACAGCTGCACGACCCCTCTGTGTCTTTAAGCGACGTCTCGATAGAACTCTTCTCTGCTTTCAAGCCCATGCTGGCGGCGGTGGCTAACATCCGCAACGTAGAGAAGCAGATGGGAAACAGCCCCTTTTTCCTTGAGACAAAGCTCGACGGCGAGCGGATCCAGCTGCACAAGGACGGGGACGTGTACAAGTACTTCAGCCGGAACGCTTTCGAGTACACGCAGCAGTTTGGAGGATCGCCGCTCGAGGGGTCGCTCACTCCTTACATCCACAACGTCTTTAAAAGCAACATCGTCAACTGCATCCTGGACGGCGAGATGATGGCGTACAACCCGGTGGCAGAGACCTTCATGCAGAAAGGGAGCAAATTTGACATTAAGAGACTGGTGGACGACTCCGAGCTGCAGACGTGCTTCTGTGTGTTTGACGTGTTGCTGGTCAATAACCAAAAGCTCGGCAAAGAACCCCTGAAGAAGCGGTATGACACCCTTCAGACCATTTTCACGCCTGTCAAGGGGCGGATACACGTGGTGCCGAAGACAGAAGTCAGAACCATGCAAGAGGTGGTTGGTGCTCTCAATGACGCTATCGATAAGAGGGAGGAAGGGATCATGGTGAAGGACCCTCTTTCCATCTATAAACCTGATAAACGAGGTGAGGGCTGGCTAAAGATAAAGCCGGAATACATGGATGGCTTGATGGATGAGCTGGACTTGCTGATTGTCGGTGGTTACTGGGGGAAAGGAAGACGAGGAGGGATGATGTCCCACTTTCTATGCGCTGTGGCCGAAGCGCCAAAGCCTGGTGAGAAACCATCGGTCTTCCACTCCTTCTGCCGCATTGGCTCAGGTTACACTATGAAAGAGTTGTATGACCTGGGGTTAAAGCTGGCGAGGCACTGGAAAGTCTACCGGAAGAACGACCCGCCAGCATCCATCCTCTGCGGAGCAGAGAAACCAGAAGTCTACATCGAACCCTGCAACTCGGTCATCATCCAGGTCAAAGCGGCTGAGATCGTCGGCAGCGACATGTACAAGACCAATTGCACTCTGCGCTTCCCCAGAATCGAAAAGATCCGCGAGGACAAAGAGTGGCACCAGTGCATGACCCTGGCAGAGCTGGATCAGTTCCGCGGCAAGGCATCGGGGAAGCTGGCTTCGCGCCACCTCCGCATTGACGACGACAGCGAACCGCAGAAGAAGAAGAGGAAGCTGCCCGTCAAACCTAAGAAGGTGATCGGCGTCGTCGATCACTTTAGGCCCCAGGACCTGTCTGGGGTTTCCAAGGAGACGGATATGTTTGAGGATGTGGAGTTCTGCATCCTGAACGGCACTGAGGATCACCCAAAGTCCGAGCTGGAGAAGGGCGTGGCCAGGTAACGGCACATGTTATAGTACTTCCTGTTTAGACTGATCTGCTAATCCCGCTTTGTTTTGTAGAAATGAGGAGAAATGCAGACAATAGGGATAACGGTTATGGCTATTCCTTCTTCACCACTGGGTATGAAAAGGGGCTGTCCATTAGGCACCATTTTGTTCCCCCTCTGCGTCTAGTTTAACCTCATGGGAGGACATTTGGTTCCTGCTCCAACAACTAACCAAATAAAATGGTTCCTATGCCAACCAGTAGGGAAAGTAATGTCAGTCTCCACCTTCCTTTCTCTTCTTCTGCTCCATGAGTTCCTTTTTTCTACATTCTGTCCATCATTTTTGTGTCCAACCTTTCTTCCTTCTATCCCTCCTTCCTCCCTTTCTTCCTTTCCTGGTCTCCTTATTCTGCTTACTTGCTTTGATTGGATTCCTGTTCCTTCCTTCCTTCCTTCCTTCCTTCCTTCCTTCCTTCCTTCCTTCCTTCCTTCCT